CCTGAGATCCTGGTCCAGCACCGAGGACTGGAGGGAGGCTGGAGGGTTCTGGGCAGCAAGATGGGGCCTCCTCAGGGTGCTGCAGGGTGCCCCTCGGTGCTGGCCACTGGCCTTGCTCTGCAGTGCCTCTGTTGAGGTGAGGAGCCCAGAGACACCCGCCTCTGCCTGAGCTCCTCTGGGGCAGGAAATTCCCTCTCTCAGCAGAACCAGGGCTTTGTCATGGCTATATCACCTCTGGTCACTCAGCCCAGAGGTAAGAGCAGAATGGATGCACATGCCATCAGAGCCAAACCTGGGAGAGGGAACCCGGCCCTCCCCACCCCCATCCCCAAAGAGGGGCAACGGGGACCCCGTTGGACAAAAACCTCAGTATTCAGGTGTCAGGGTGGGCCTGGAGTTCTGCTCCAACCACAGACCCATCACCCTCAGAACTGAAAATGGCCTTCAAGGTCACCAAAGGCCATCAATACCCCAACCCAAGGGCCAGGTTAAGGAGAACGGAAGTAGGAGAGTAGAGACTCGAGCCAGCTCCAACCCCCAAGCCAGGATCCACACCGACTCTCACAGAGGGGTCTCTGGGAACTCTTCACTCTCTGTCCCCGGCATGTGTACATACACACACACACACACACACACACACACACACAGACCCCTTTCTCACTGGCTCACTGCCCCCCGCCAAGTTCCCCATTCCGGAGATGGCAGGGTGGGATTATACACAGGCCCAGCACTGCAGACCCGGGGATCTGCGTGGGCTGAGAAGCTGTGGGAAGTTGCTGACCAACACACCAAACTGCTCAGCCAACTCCGTAGATCACAGACCCGCCATGTGCACAGCTCTCGGGGCCGGGGATGGAGAGGGAGGCGATGACATAGTCTCTGACCTTCTGAGGTTCTCTGACCCTGTAAGCACCAGCTTCCATGATCCTTAGCAGAACTTATCATTTGATCCTGGAGAGAAAACTAACTCTGGAAAATTCAGAACCTGGCTGGAAACCCTGGGGTGCTGGGCTTTGCCTGCCACGCCTGCACCGCAGGAGGCAACTAGGGTAAGCATTGCCCCTCTGAGCCTCAGCAACAGAAGTAGGGGCTGCCCTGACCCTGGAAGGGTCCTAGCAGAGGGAGGCGCCATCAGGGTGTTGGAGGATCTGAGTTGACAGAGGAGGAAGCGTTTCTTCCGCAGAGGTGATACACCCCCATGGTGGCCAAGAGCCAGGACCACTAAGCCTGGTGAGCAGGGCACAGAGGAGCACAGTGAGCATCCTCCAGGCAGGGGATTCCTCCCTACACCCTGCCTCCATCCGCCCTCCTCCGTCCTGCCCGTGTCAAGAATGACGCATGAGATTACAGCATACCTGAGGCTGCCAGGAAACACCATTGGCCAATGCCACGCCTCGACTTGCAGTGATTCTCCAACCAGACAGATCATCTGCGTCCCCATGAAGATTCGCAGCCCTGCTCCAACCCCCACATCAGCATCGCTCAGGACAAGCCTGACGGTGGGGCTGTTTTACAAGCTCCCCAGCCGGCTCAGGCTAGGAAAGCAGGACCGGGGAGGGGGCAAAGAAGCTGAGGGGGCGAGAGGGAGCTGCTGCAGGGCCCCCAGCCCCGGGTGGACAAGCCAGAGCCATAGGCTTCAGGGCAGGAGGAAGGAAAGGTAGAGCCCCACTAAGCCAGGACAGAGCAGCCCAGGATCGGGGCAAGCAGGAGAGAAACCTTGGGCAAGACATTCAGCCTCTCTGAGCCTCAGTTGCCTTCTCTGGGAAATGGAAGTAACAGCCCTGCCTCAAAGGCGTATTACAGGATTAGAGGCTAAATAAGGCACCTGGAACAGGCCGGTGGCTAGTGTTATGTTTATCAGCAGGTGTTTACAAAGCACCTACTATGTGCCTGCCTCCGTGCTGGGCACTCAGACTCAAAGAACAAGACAGAGAAGCCCTGGAGACATAGGCTGCTGCGGGGAGAAGGTGGTAAAGACAATCCCATACAGTAAAGTCGGGCCACGAGATGCAGAGGGAGCAGGGTCCTGGGAGGAGAACAGATGCCCAGGCCCAGGCTGTGCCGCTGTGACGGCGCCAGGATCGGGCGAAACCTGTGAGTGCCAGGCCCGCCTTCGGGTGTCCTCTCCCCTCCTGCATATTTGATGCTCCCACCCCGAAGGTGGGGCTGTCACAGCCCTTCACACTGTTCTGTACAAACAAGGGCCCAGACTCCTATGTGAGTCTCACGAAACCCCCAAGAGGGCCTCCCATTGCCCCCAGCCCAGGAATGTGAGCTGGAAGCTGGTGCCTCCAGGGAAGGCTGTGGATCTCAGGCGGGTATGGGAGGAAGAGGGGGCTTCTCTCAGGGATGTTTCTGCAAATGGTCACTGCAGCTCAGGATGAGGACAGACCTCTGTAAAGCTCAGTTTTCCCCTTGGCTCTGTGCTTGGGGGCAGACCTGCCTGGCTGTGCTCCCTCTGTTCCCCTCACCTCCCCAAAACCTGGGATGCCACGAGAGACCCACACTGCATAAGGACTGAGGGACATTGTCATCCCTCAGGTCCCGGCTGCTCAGGCACTGTCTCTCTGGGTCAGGGCGTGTCTCCTCCTTCCCCTGGACTCAGTGCAAACCAGGCGCAGAGCGAGGTAATGCCATGGGTGAGTGTCCCCACCACATCATCTTCCTGCAGGACAGGCCACCAGGTCAGCCCCTGCAAGGGGTTCCAGAGGCAGCTACCCCTGGCATGGGCCTGGCCTGAGAATCATGTGTGTGTCCATCACACGAAACCACATGTGGCAGCTCCAAGGGCAACCACAGATCCACAGCTTCTGCCTTGATGGCAGGGGGTGAAACATTCTGTGCAGCAGGCAGGGTGGTTGTGGATGAGCTGTGAGTCCCTCCATGAATCCCATAGCTGGGTCCCCAGTCTAACTCAGGCACACATCCCCAGCAGCCTGGGCCTACTTGGGGGTGCCTGGACAAAGCCGCTCAAGTCTCCCCCCATCTCCTGGCAACCACTGCCTCTACTGGCTCAGCTCTCTGGGCACACCAGGGGTCTCCCCCATTCTGGCCTCCTGAGCCCCCCCACCCACTCACTTTGTGGAAAGGGGCTTCTTCCCCAGCAGAGGAGCACCGTCCGGGGCTGTCTCTGGTCCTCCCCACACTCTGACACCTCCTCACTCGCCCCATCGGTAATCATGAACCCCAGGATCTACAGGAGGGAGGGAGAGCCCTGCCTGGAGCCTGGGGTGGGGCAGGAGGTGGGGCTTGGCTCTTCTCAGCACGGAGTCCACTCCCCTCCCAAGTCCATCTCCACTACTGACCTCCCAGGCTCCAGGACAAAGGCTAAGTCGCTGCTCCTTGGAGCCTCAGTGTCCCCATGCACACAATGAGGTGCCTTCCCCCAGACCCTCCGTGCTTCCTGGGACTTTTCAGATAAATGAAGTCACCCTCCAGAATGAGCCATCTGCAGCCCAGAGCTGGTTCTTCTGGTTGCGGCGGGATGTGCGCAGAGCTGAGCCAGCAGAGGCGGTGGGTGCCAGGGGGTGGCGGGATGTGTGGTGGGGCCTGGCGTGAACAGTGCCTCCCTCCTGCCCTCCATGGCGCCACATTTGGTGCCAGGCAGCCGGGAGACGTCAGCCTCTGACGGAGCACAGCCTGCCCTTGCTTTGAGTCGTGCAGATGCCGCTACTCCAGGCAGCCGTCTCCCCTGCAGAGAGAAACAGTCTCCCGCATGTCTTAGCTCCAAGGTTCAGGGAGGGCCTGTGACCAGCCCAAGGTCGCCCATACCCCAGTGGTCAGTACCCACCCCCTTCACTGGCCTCTGCCAGTCCCAAACGCCCCACCAACCCAGGCTTGGAGGGCTCTGTCTGCTTCCATTCTCCTGGGGCCCGGGCCCCACCCTCAGCCTCCAGGCACCAGGAGAGAGAGGGTGTTTGGGGGCCCTGGTCTGATTCCGAAGCAGCAGAGACACCTCAGGTCAGCAGTGATGGGGTGGAGGCACCCTCCTCCCACTAACCCTCTCCTTGAAGAAAACCAGGAACGCAGCCCAAGCCGCCCAGCAGTTTCCGGATTTACTAGAAGGAAGATTTCCAGGTGTCAGGCTCACCTCCCACAGACTGTTCCCCACAGCCACCCTGGCTGCCACCAGCAAGAGCTGGGGCTGGTGCTGAGAAGGTGTGCTGGGAGCAGCTGGAGCAGGACTGTTCCTCCTCCTTTTCCTAGGAGGCGGTTTCTATCCCCACCCCACCCCCACAGTTGTCCCTAGGTGGGGAACTCAAGAGGGTCCAGACCGCCAAGGAGAGTGGCCCTGCTCCCCAGGCGCAGCTGCCCCATCTGCAGTGCCCCCCACCGCACCCCATCCTGAGCACCAGCTGACCCCTGAGAGAGGCCCCACCCTTTCTCCCACACCTGCCTGGGGTCCACCACCTTCCCTGAAAATGCCAGCCTCCTGCTCAGGTTCCTGGGGTGGGGGCAATGGGAGCCCCTCTTAGGGATTTCCTGAAACTCACACAGGAGTCTGGGATGGCAACCACCCAGCCTGCCTTGCTCCCCCACACACCCCTTCGTGCTTATCCCAGCCCTTGCCCACCTCCTGCCCGATCGGGGAAGGGGGGCACGGCCCACAGGATGGGGAGGAGCAATTGATTGAGTGAGTCATCTCTGAGGATTCAGGCTCCCACACCTGAGATCTTCCCATCCATTTATGGATGAGAAAGCAAGGCTCAGTGAGGGGAGGTGACTGCCTAACTTCCCAAGGTCACAGAGCTATTCACGGGGCAATCAGAGGCCACCTAGGACCTTGCCTGATACACCAACCAACTCCACCCCGAGTCTAGCGAAGCCTGGACCAGCCCCTGGGAGATGCGAGCATCTTTATGCTGATCTAAGCTGACCCCTGACCTCCAAGTCAACAACAGCGGGTGTCCAAGCACCACCTCCCCTCACCCTCACTCCTTCCCAGTTCACCCTTTCGTCCCTAGTGCCCACTTCAGGGGCCAGAACAAGGACACATTTCATAGCTGAGTCAACAAGCTTTATTGATATCAGGCAGCGAGGCAAGGGGAAGGGACTGAAGCAGGGGGCTGAGGCTGGAGAGGCCAGAGACTGTGGGGCAGATGAGGCGGCTACCTCCCTGCCTCCTGGGGAGCTGGCCGGGAGGAGCTGAGTCCTCAGTGGGTGGTCTGGTGGACCTGCTCCCGGGAGGAGATGACCTTGCCATCCTGGACCTCTTCCACAATGGTACGCACCTGGCGGGTGGTCACCGCTGCAGGAAAAGCAGGTGCTTGAAAGTGGGTAGGGGTCAGGAGACCCTCGCTTGCCCCCAAGCCCCCATGGACAGGAGCCGGCTCTCTCCCTAGTCCTCCCCCAGCTGCTATGAGTGACTCCACTGGCCCCTCGACATCACACTGCACACACCTCCCTCCTGCCCCTACCACCGCCTCCCTGCCATCCCATCCCTCTGCCGGTGGCCCTGTCTTGCCTCCCCAGATGGGTTATTTAATTCTGACCCACTGTGCCCTGCCAGAAAGGAGACTACATGAAACCCATCTCCAGTTCTCTGCAGGCTCCAGGACATAGATTTGCTCCCATCTTCCCCATCAGACTGGGATCCCCAAGATAAAAACCAGGTCCCTGTCTCCTCCATTAGACTAGGAACCCTGAGGCCAGGATCGTATCTTCTTCATCGGACTGGAATTTGGAGGACAAGGACCATGACCCTGTCTCCCATCAGGCTAGAGTCCCCAGAGACAGGACTGCTTTTGCTCATCTGAAAGCTGCCAACAGCAAAGATCATGAGACCATGTTCCTATCTTCCCATCAGATGACAATCTGTGGAGCTAGGACCTGTCTCGTCCATCAGATTAGGATCTCCGAGGTAAGGACCAGTTCCCTTCCCCACCCTCATCAGACCAGACAGTGTCTCTCTCATTTGATCCTTTCCTGAGCATCAACCCTCAGTGCTAATGAGTCACTTCTCCCGCCCCTGCTGAGGGCCAGCCATCAACTCCTGGAGATGCTGGGGACCCTGCTCCAGCCATGTGCAGGTGGGCTGCCTGTCCCATGCACCCAACCCCCAGGGCCTCAGCCACCAAGATGCTTACGTTCTTTCTTGTACTGAGTCAGGCTGAAAAAAAAAAAAAAAAACAAAACACCAGACAGGAGGTTAGATGTGGGTCTAAGAGCCCCACCCCTGCCAAAAGGTGCCCCCTAGCCCTGGCCCCAGGCGCCCCCACTCACTGGGCATCCTCGCCCTCCAGCAGGCGGCGGTAGGTGGCAATCTCCTGCTCCAGCCGCGTCTTCACGTCCAGCAGGATCTTGTACTCCTGGTTCTGCTGCTCCATCTCACACCGTAGCTGGGCCAGCTGCTCCTCCACGCTGCCAATCAGTCCCTGGATCTGGGACAGCTGCACGCAGTAGCGGTTCTCTGTCTCTGCCAGGCTGCCCTCCAGGGATGCTTTCTGCAGGAGGGCAGGAAGACCAGGGGTCAGTGAGGATGGTCAGTGCCCTCTTCTGGGCCCACCCCCACGCACGCCACTGTTCCCACCATGCTGAGCTGGGACTGCAGCTCGATCTCCAAGGCCTGCATGGTGCGCCGGAGCTCCGAGATCTCGCTCTTGCCGCTCTGCACCAGCTCGCTGTTGGTGGCCACCTCGCGGTTCAGCTCCTCTGTCTGCAGACAGGACACAGGACAGGGCAGTATGAGCCTGGATCCCCTCTCCCAAGTCAGACCTCCTCCCAAATCTGACTGTGGAGAGAGTGGTTCCTTCTCGCCAGCTTCCCACATCCCAAAACCCAGAAACATGCCATTTGAAATGTTACTTTTTTATGGTTAATCCCTGTGTGTGGGAAGCACAGACCGGAAACTTGAGAACCAGCCAGAACATGTAGCCTGGCTCTTGGTGCTAGTTCCTGACTTCTTGAGGGAGACGTGGGAACTCCCAAGGTCTTTACCCCCTGCCTTTATTCTGTGGGGACTCCTGCCTCCCCACCCATACCCCCAGATCCCAGCTTGAGCTCAGCTCCAGGTCTGTGGATGCAGCGGGTGACTCTGCGGTCCATGCAGCCTACGAGGAGGGGGCACCTCCAAGACGTCTTGCGGTGGGCTTCCTGCCAGTGCCAAAGTCCCTGAGCCCCAGCCCCTGAGAGAGACCTCTGGCCTGCAGCAGCCCTCACCTTGCTGAAGAACCAATCCTCGGCATCCTTGCGGTTCTTCTCTGCCATCTTCTCATACTGATCACGCATCTCGTTCAGGATGCGGCTCAGGTCCACGCCTGGGGCAGCGTCCATCTCCACATTGATCTCACCGCCCACCTGGCCTCGCAGGGCGTTCATCTCCTATGGAAAAAGGGGATGTGGGTGTGAGCCTGGCCCCATCCTGACCTCTCACTCCCAAGCCTTCCCACACAAGGGGATCCCACTCCCCACCAAGACCCCTCCTTTGTTCTGCCTCTGCTCTATCTGACCCTCCAAATGATTTTTATTCATCTGCTCTGTATCGGCCCTGCCTCTGCCATCAGCTCAATCTCCCCCATTAGACCAAGGACTCTCCAAAATAAAATCTAAGTTTTAGACCTATGCCCCAAAAATTTCCCCTCTAATTTCCAAGCTTCTATGTAGGTGTCCAGATTTGAGAATTTGAAATGGGACAAGGAGACTTCCTTACTTATCCCCTGCCCTGGTGAGAGAGGCCAGATCAGGTAGGGGACGCTTCTGCGGGCCGTGGGTGCAGAGGAGCAGGGCAGTACAAGAGGTGTCTGTCCTGCACGCTGGACCCAGGGATGAGGACTCTGCAGACGGGCAGCACTCTGAGGTGACTAATCTCAGCGTGCCTGCTCTGCTCTCTCCCACCGCCTCAGCCATGACCCAGCCCCAGGGCTCCACCACCCAGTCCTCAGCCTCTCTGACCTGCCCCAGCCACCTCACCTCCTCGTGGTTCTTCTTCAGATACACCAGCTCCTCCTTGAGGTTCTCGATCTGCATCTCCAGGTCGGCTCTGGCCAGGGTCAGCTCATCCAGCACCCTGCGCAGGCCGTTGATGTCGGCTTCCACACTCACGCGCAAAGCCTGCTCCGTCTCAAACCTGCCGTGGGAACCAGAGACTTCAGCCCAGGCTGCTGGGACCTGCAGGTCCAGGTCCTGGCCACTCACCTGCCTTCACTTTGCCGGGACTCTAAGGGTTTGGGAGGGCTGACGAGAGGGTCGACTGGAGATGAATTCCAGCCCTGGAGTCCTGGGACCATCACAGGGCCAGATCCCACACCCACCGGCTTCCTTACTTCTCTCTGCCTGCTGCCTCCTCTCCCTCTCTTCTATTCCCTGCCTAAGCCCAGCAGCCTTCAGAACTGGCTGCCTTTGCTGCATCCTGGACTCAGGGGTAGGGCTCCTAGGACTGCCCCACCCAGAGCTCCTGCGCCTTCCCACAAGCAACCAAGGAGCCCTGAGATCCTCCCCCAGCTGGCCCAGGCTGCCCAAGTCCACTGGCCAGGACTCACTTGGTGCGGAAGTCATCAGCAGCCAGACGGGCGTTGTCGATTTGCAGCAGGATGTTGGCATTGTCCACGGTGGCTGTGAGGATCTGAGGAAATGGGAGACAGTCGGGTCATTGGATGGGAGAGGCTGAGCCCACACCAGGGTTCTGAGCGGTCTTCCTGCCTGGGGGCCTCTCTTCCCACCCAGCCTCTCCCTTGCCCCATGCTATCTTATTGGCAGAGGAGGGGCAAGCAGGAGTCTGAAGGGCTGAAAGCTGCCTCTTCTCCACCCCCCACCCTACTCTCAGTACCTGCCTCCTCCACCAGACCCCTATGCCAGGCTCAGCCTTAAAGGAGAAGAGACAGCTGGCCAGGAAGATGAGGCAACCAGAAAAGAATGGGAAAGTGTCCCCAGGGCAGAAGCTGCCCCAGAATCTAGGAACCGGGGAGGGGATGCGGGCAACCCCTCGTTTTACAGTCAGTGAGAGAGTACCCCTGAGAGGCTCCCCTAAAAGGAGGTCAAAGGAGTCCTCACCAAATAGTGGTTCCAAATCAGAAGTCAGGACCCCTCCTAATCCTTAACCCTGGGCTCCAGCCAGCAGCCCTGCCCCTGGGGTTTGCTGATCCCATCTTAAGGGACAGCAGGAAGAAAGGAAAAGCCAGAAAAATCCCCAAATAAGGCACACCAGAGGCCTTCCTCACTTGAGGTCTCGCCCCTTCCTTTCTGCCTCCCCCAGCAGCAGGTGCTATCAGGAGCTCACTCAGACACCCCCACTCCGCATCGCCCAAAACCCCCTCCTGCTGACCCCTGCTCCAAAGGAGCAAGACACCGCACATCCAGCGGCCATGCGCCCAGCCCTCCATCTGCGTCTCCCACCTCATCCTACAACCTCACCAAGTAGAGAAGCTCCACGAGGGAGCAACTCAGGCTCCAAGGGGCTCCACGAGGCCTGTCTGTTGCTAACTCAGCCTGCTGCCCCCAGAAAAGGGGGATTTGGGCCACACAGGATCCCCAAGGCAGGTTCCCAGAAGCTAAGCCACAGCCAAACCACCCCTGCCTCCCTGAGACCCTGTGGCTAGACGCCAGGCCTTCGGCCAGGGCACAAGGTGGGGAGAAGCCCTGCCCCGGAGAACCCTCCCACCAGCAGGCCCTACCTTGTTCTGCAGCTCCTCGATCGTCCTGTAGTAGTGGCTGTAGTCACGGGCGGGCCCGGGGGCCTGCTTCTGGTACCAGTCACGGATCTTCACCTCCAGCTCAGTGTTGGCCTCCTCGAGGGCACGCACCTTGTCCAGGTAGGAGGCCAGGCGGTCATTGAGGTTCTGCATGGTGGCCTTCTCACCTCCGGCCAGCAGCCCATCAACGCTCCCAAAGCTGCTGCCATAGCCACCCCCAGAACCAAAGCTGTAGCAGCTGGAGTAGCTGCTGCCCCCAAGGGCGCTGCCCAGGCCGCCGGCAGACCCCAGCCTGCAGGAACCGCCACCCAGGCCACCAGACAGCCGGCAGGAGGTGCGGGACGAGCCGCCACCCAAGCCGGAGGAGCCTTTGATGGAGCTGGAGGAGGTGAACTGGCGGATGGTGGTGGTCATGGCGGCGTCGGGAGGCAGGCACACAGCAGGAGTGCCGGAGAGGAGAGGGGACCCAAGGTGTGTATGGCTGCCGGGGTTCGCCTCCTTCCTTTATAGGCACCAGTGGGCGTAGCGATTACAACAGGCTTGCTCCTCTGTTTCCATTCCCCTGGGCTTTCATCACCACTGGCCGCCTGCCAGCTCCCAGGTGGCTGGAGGCCCCCCCCTCCCCGCCCATCATCAGGAATTTGCCTCATTTCTCCAAATCCTCGTGCTGGATGCCGTGCGTGTGCATGTGGGTGCCTCTGGTCTCAGGCCTGTCACCTGTGATTCAGGCGGGCCCTCCAGCTATGCTTTCCCATGACCTAATACGGAAAAGAGCAGAAGGCAGGACGTCACCGTCCCCAGGCCCTCCCAGTCAGCCACCACCCCAGCCCAGCCTGCCTCAACCACGTCTGGTAGAGAACTGGGTCACAGAGTCAGGTGGCCCCCCTAAGTTACTGTCTTTCATCCCACACTGCCCTATCCACAGTGCTGGCCTGGGGCTGGGTGCGGGGGAGGCAGAGGGGAGCAAGAGCCTATCCTGCCTTGGAAACTGAACCCAAGCCCACCAGGCCCACCTCACAGCACAGAAATGCCATCAAGCCTCAGAGACCAACCCACATCGCAGATAAAGAAACTGGGGTGCCACCTAACACCCCAGCTAAGCTGGCTAACATCCTTCCTGCTTATCTTGCCACAGCACCCATCCCCCGGGAACCCCAGCCTCTCTGGCCCCTTCTGCACAGCCTGACACCCAGAGGTGCACTCCAGGGGCCGCAGTTCCAGCTGCTCAGCTCCTGACCCCGCCCCATCCCTAGGAGCCCGTGATAACCCAGTCTTCTCTTGTGACCCTTTCCCCAGGCGGGGCGTCCTGGGCTGGAGCAGGCAAAGAGGGGCTCAGCTATAGGATGGGGATGTGGTGGGCTGTGGGGGAGTGCTGTGCTAAGAGAGGCTCTAAACCAGCTGAGGGGGGGTGCCCCTTCCACTCCCCTCACCCTTGTGTACCCCAAGAGACCTCAGGGTAAGGTGAGGGTCATTTATCTCAGGTCTCAGCCCACTGAAAACCTGAAGGACATTGCCCAAGAAGAGGCTCTTGTTGAGACTCCAGTCAGCCCCCTCCCCACTCCAGGCTCCTCAGGTGGGCCATGTGCCCCACCCCACAGCCTCACCCTGCCCTACCCACCACCCCAAGCCCTGCCCTGGGTCCCAGGGTCCCGCCAGGCCGGCTGGGTGGAATGTGGTCATGTTTCAGACTGCCGATGGCTTCCAGGTCCCAGACAGGCCCAGACAGCCCCACCAGCAGCCGAGAGAGATTCCTCAATAGCCCAGTGGCTGCCAAGCCACCAAAGCAAACAGGACGCCCCCCACGCGCACACGCACGGCGGCCACCCCACCCCACACACACCCCGAGCTGGGCAGAGCCGGTCTGGTTTCTTGGGCTGTGTCGCTGCCACCCCCTCTCACTCGTCAGTGCCATGGACCACTCCTTCAGAAGCCCTCCACCACTGAGCCCCTCTCCTTCTGCTCTTGAACCCTGCTGAGGCAGGGAGTGCTTCCTAACAGGTGTGGTCCTTGGAAAGTCTGTGTGCCCCCCCCCCCCGCCCCCGGGACCATCCACAGGTGACAGGAACTCAGGGGCTAATTCTTAGAAACGTTTCCCAGTAAAAGGAACTACCCATCTCTCCACCTTTAATCCTCCGCCTCCTCCTTGCTCATCTTCCCAGGAACCCCAGACCTGGATGGAGTGGGTAGAACAGATTGGCAGGTGACAAGTCGATACCCAGACACTCAATAAACCCTTCACCTCTCCCAGTCCCTCAGCTCACACTGCCCCAAACCAATGAACAGACCAGATCACACGAGGCATTGAACTTGGAGCGAAGCTTTAATAGCAGGCCTGGATAAACCCAGGAGGGCTCCTCAGTGAGGGGCTACAGAAAGGCAACAGGTCATGGACCGGGGCCCAGATGGGCACGTGAGGCATGGCAGTAGCATGCTGGGAGCTGGAGCTGAGGTGGGGCTGTCACAGGCAGAAAGGTGGACCTGCCCACAGAAGGAGACCACCTCTCCAGCCTGCACTTCTTCCACAATGGCACACTGGTCACTGTGGCTGCGGGCGATGGAGGAGGTGGGCACAGGGAACATCAGGCAGGAGTTCTTCCCCTACCTGCCCCCCAACCTGTGGTCCCCCCAGTCTCCCACACAGAAGGGTCCTCAGCCTCTCCCCTGCCTTGGGGTCCAGACAGCAGGACAGGGCAGCTTCTTACCTTCCTGGGTGGGCTGCAAGGAGCACCCGTCAGCCCGGGAATGCCAGCCAGCCAGGCCCCTGCAATCACTGCTCGGGGGAAGCAGGCCCTGGCAGAGGAGGTGCCTCCAAAATGGTGGCAAATCATAGCTGGGAATGCACAGAAACTAGCACAGGCCCAAGAATCAAAGGGCAAGGGTTCAGTGCAGCAGGAAGAAGATGAAGAAATGGCGCCGTGGCAGATCCAGCGGCCCTCTGTGGCTGCTCACCGGGATCTACAAGGAGAAGCTGCACAAATGGTTTTTCCACATCCCAGAGGGCCCAACAAACAGACCCAATTAAAGCAGGAGAGACTGTGGTTAGACTATAGATGGACTTCACCATTTTGGGGGAGCAAAAGCTGCAATGTGTGACTAAGCATGTAAACTCCAGGACACTCTCAACTGGGGGCCAGATAGACCTTCCCAACTGCAAAGCCAAGCCCCACCCCCTGTGCGCCTCACCCCGTGCTGATGGTATCACCATCCACACAGTCGCCGGAAGCAGAAACCCAGGGCCATCAAAGCCCCCTCCTCCACGTGTTCACCTGACACTATTGAGTCCTGACTGTGAGCCCCGCTCACCCCGAGTCCAGGCATCCGGCCCTGCTATCTTGAGCTATAACTTCTCTTCTGCGTGCACCACCTTCCCCACCCTGCCCTCCACAGGACTCCTCTGGCGGGACCCCCTGCTCCAGCTCCCTGACACATCTCTCCAGCCCCCTGACGCATCTCTCCAGCCCCACCCTGGCCCCTCTGATCCATTTCTCCCTCTGCAGCCAGAGTGAATGTTCTAAGATATCTTGACGTTCATTCCCCTCCTCTGCTCCAAATCCCCCTGTGGCTTCCCATTGCCTACGTGATCCGATCCAGGTGCTTTAACTTGGCATTCAGGGCTCCTCAGTCAGACCCCAGCCTGGACCCTCAGATTCTCCTCCTGGAAACCCCCAAAGGTTCGCACATTCGTACCTTCTGGACTTCGCTGGTGCTCAAACACCAACTTCTCCCTGGGTGAAGCGGGCCCCCAGCCCACCCCAGCAGGTACCCAGGTACACACTCACTGGGCATCCTCAGTCTCCAGCAAGCAGTGGTAGGTGGCAATCTCCTGCTCCAGCCACATCTTCAAGTCCAGAAGGACCTGGTGCTCATGGTCCCGGTGCTCCGCGTCACAGCAGGGCTCACACAGCTGCTGCTCCATGCTTCTGACGAGCCCCTGAAGCTGGACCAGCTAGGTCCTGTATCACACCTCTGTCCCCACCAGGCTCCCCTTCAGCATTGCTTCCTGTGGGCCGAGAGATAGGTGGTGGGGTGAGACAGAGCTGGGACGCTTCCCCCACAGCACAGCACTAGAGAGGAGCCCCTCCTGTGTGGGGCTGTGGGTGCTGCCAGCACAGTGGGGTGGTAATGCACCCAGCCACTGAGTGTGAAGGGGCAGGCTGGGCGGGGACTCTGGTTCTCCAAGCAGGGGTCTACGAGGTTGCGCTCACCCTGGGGTGACAGGTACAGGGCAGGGAGAGGACAGAGGCCCTCCCTTGCTGAGTTGGGACGGCTCAGCTTCTGCACAGAGCTGTGGCGCTCCATATCGCCACCCTGCCACTCTGCAGGGCCTCTGTGTTGGTGGCCCCCATGAAGGTCAGCCCCTCTCTCTGGAAGGCAGAGTGGGCCACAGGGGTTTAAGGAGGCTTTCAGAAGTGGGGCACAGGAAAGGGGCTGCTCCTGAACCCTCACCTTCCAGAACCTCTCCTAGCCCCTCCCTGGCCTCTACGGGACCCCAAAGGCACCTGCACACAGAGACCCTCTGCACCCACGCTGGCACTTGGAGAATTCAGCCTGCTCTGCAGTCATTTGCGTTTGTTATTCCTTCCAAACTGCGGCACCTCAAACACAGGCACTGGGCGTTCTGCTTTTTGCACCTATTGCTGTCCATGGATACCAGAGACACTCAGTCTGTGCTTGCCAAGGGTAGGTGTATGTATTCAGATACACACGTCCTGCAAACAGCTGTGGCGGAAGCCCGAGACCAGGCTTGCAGAGACCTGGATCTCTTTCGCAGGCCACAGTGAAGGGCTGTGTGAGCTTGAGTCCTCTCTGAGCCTCACATTTTGCATCAAAAACATGAGCGGCTGGTCCAACTGGTTTCCAAAAGTCCTTCCAACTGTGATGGCCTGTGGCTCTGCCAGGGTTCCAGCTGCACCAGCATGCAGCACACGTGTGCACACCTGCTTACGCACGGCCACCCACCACGCTGAAGAACCCCATGCTCGGCATCCTTGCAGCTTCTCTCCACCAATTTCTTGTTCTGGTCACACGTCTCATTCAGGATGCAGCTCAGGTTCACTCCAGGCACAGTGTCCGTCTTCACACTGACATTCTCGTCCACCTGACCTTGAAGGACACTCATTTCCTGGGCAGAGAGGACAAGAGGTCACCCAAGGCCATCCTGGGGAAAGACCCTGGGGCCTGCCTTCTCTGCCTTGGAGAGACAGGTACAGATAACAGACAGACAGACAGACACGGGCAGACACAGACGGGCCAACAGCTCCTCACCCTGAAGGTGAAGGCGGATGTCATCATTTCTCAAACATACAGGGCTATGAATATCAACAACCTCCCCCAACTCTCACTGAGACTTGGGGGTGGACTTTACCCAACTGCAACGTGTGCTAAACCTCAAGAGATGACGACCCTCCTGGCACGGCAGAGGATGACCACGGGCGACCTCACTCACTGCCCTGGCCTTACTCCCACCACTGCCTTGCCCCCACAATCAACCCCACAGCACAAGCACGGGGAAAGCAACCCTACGCTGTGCCGGGCCCCGTTGGGAAATGTAATCTGCTGCAAGAAA